CCGCCTCCCGATGCGCTCCACACGTCCCTTGGGTATGGACACCGAGCATGCCCGCCATCCATCACCTCAAAGCCCTAGCGTGCCGCGCTATAAAGCCCGTGGCCGCCACTCCTCTTCCCCATCAGCCGCCGCCACTCTCTTCTTCCACCCGCAGCCACCGCACCTTGCCACCTCACTTTGTCACCTCACGCCCTCTAGTGGAGGTGCTTTGCTCGATGCTCGTGGTCACGTGGAGCATCACCGCGCTAGGCACCGTGCGTCGCCGGCCTTCTTCCTCGCCACGCGGGCACACTAGAGCAGCCACGACCGCCGTCCCTGCTCCTTGCCAACGCAGCCGAGTCACACCACCACCATGACGTCGTGGCGCACCTCACCACCGCGATGTCCTCCTCTGCAACTACCACGAGCCCCTACACTGACCACCCCACCTGCCTCCACGCCTCGCCTCGTCCCGACGTCTCCACCGCCGTGCCACCACTGAGGCCACGACGTTGTCACCCACACTGTCGGAGTTCCTCCTCGCGCTAAGCTTCGCTGAGCCCCGCACGTCTGCCTCCCGGTTCATGAGCACTTCGCCGAGCCAAACAGCACCGCACTTGCTCCTGCTTCACCATCGGCCACAACCTTCTTCGAGCCGAGCCGCATCCACCTCGTCGAGCTCTGACGCCTTGCTGCTCTCCAAGAAGGACACCACCACCGCCTTCACTGTACCTCATCGGCGACCTGTCCTCCTCTGCCACTGGTGAGCTCTGTACCCCCAAAGCCCCATCTTTTCCTTGAAATCGGTCGTTGTACCTGCTGTCCCTCATCGTTCCCTGCTGTGAGCTTAAGATCCCACCCTTGCAGCCCTCCTTGTCACCGCCGGCGTCTCCAGCAATAGCCTCAGCAAGCACTGCAGAAGCCCATGACAAACAAGTCAGCAGCTAGCCTAGAGCCATGTTTGGCCACCAGAGCCCCCCTTTGGCCACCAAGAAGAAGCCACCGGCCGCCCACAAAGAAGAAGCACCACCGAGAGTGGTGGCGGCAAGCCCACTGACTCACCCGTGCCCATCCTCGTCTTCACAAAGAAGGTTGAACTCCTCCAACCTTTGCCGACGTCGCACCACGACGTCGACAAAAAACATATTTTTATCATCATCTATACTTGTTTATACATCCCATTCATACTTGTTCATACATCTCATTCATACTTGATCATACATCTTCATATCTTCGTTCATACTTATCAAACATGATCTATCTATCTATCTATGCCTATGTCATGCCTTCTGCGCTTGCGGTCTATGTCTTATGCTACGGTCTCTACCTCTTGTGCTATGGAAATGTGCTACTCGGTTGTTGTTTGTGTTGTTGGTTCTTTGTGTGTGTTGTGTTGCTGTCTGTGGACCGAGCCTTTGAGCTAGTCGAGGGATCATACCTCGTTCGAACGTTTTGATCATGGATTCGTCCCGCCGTGGCCGTGATGCCGAGCGTAACACGACCCCTCATTTTTAGTTGATTTTGTAGTGCCGTGATCGTTGGCCCCTCCTATGGCCCTAGGATGTGGCCACCATGGGCTCGACATTGGTGCGCTTCCTACCCACACATGATGAGTCCATCATGGCCTAGTCTATAGGGGACGAACTAGGGGACGACCATCGTGGAACTTACGGAAGCCAACTCGTGTGGGTAAAGCTCATGACCACGAGTTATCTTATGATCGTCGGGCTCTACCCCTTTTGCTCTCTTGTTCTGTTTTGATCTCCTTTACTCTCTTGTTCTTCCTAACCACCTCGTATGCTTGTACCACATTGACCATAGCGTTCCTTCGGATCTAACGGTGACAATCGTGATCGCTACACGGACCTTAGGGATAACCTTGTGCTGATTTAGTTGCACGGTCATGGTGCCCTATGAGTGGGTTTGGATCGTGGGACCGTGTCTCCTTCCTTTCAACCTTCATTCGTTCCATGACGAGTTGGTCGAAAGAGTGTGGATTCCATTCTTCTCTCCTCTCTTGTTCTCAATCCTCGTTGATCCAGTAAGATGTGGATTGAGCCCTTCGCTTGTTTGGTCTTTATTGCTCTCTTGATTCCATTTCTTCGATTCCCGTCGTTGCTATGGCGAGTGGATCAAGGAAGCTGGATCCCGTGTTCCCCTCTTTTGGTTCTGTCATGCCTAAGCCCTTGTATGCTTGTACCTATTCAGACCGTACCGTAGCATTTCTTTGGTTCTTGCAGTGACAACCGCACCGCTAAGAACCCAATGGATGTCTTGGTTCATTTAGTGCACCTAGGTCGTGGTACCCTACAAGTAGTTTGGGCACTTGTGTTCTCTTGTGTGTCGCTCCTTTCAATGCCCCGTCTCTGCCATGGCGTGTAGATTGGAAGAAGTAGACCACCTCCCTTCTCTTCTCTCCCCTGTTCCACCCTCTCTTGGTTCTCGTCAATTATAATAGCATATGGATTGAGAGAGACCGGAACTGCTTCCTTTCCCCCTTAGCCACTCTTTTTGATTCCCGTTGATCTCCATGATGCCCGGATCGGAAGACCGTGAGCCATGGCTTTTGCTTAAGATGAGCTAGGGTCTATGCCATTTTTATTGAAGCCGCACACGATCAACCCGGGAAGTACTGGCTAGGCTAAGACTTAAGCTTGCGCTTAGCAAACAAATACTGCATTTTTTTTGACCCATGGATCAAACATCCGCCGAGAGGGCTAAGTCGTTTTCCCTTTGGTGTTCCTTCAGTGTAGTTGTTCTTCCCGTGCTTTATTGCATCTTTACTCGTAGTCTTTCTTGGTTACTGGTTGATTGCTCCTTGCTTTGTTTGTCGTACGAACAAGGCAGTTGCACCGGGAAATGACGTTGATCGGACCGAAACCCCGTTGGAGGAAGGACATGTGAACGACAACAGGACTTGGAGGGGAACGACTACGAGTACACTAAGGATCTCGGAGATATGATCAGTCAACAGGTGCCACGCCCCACCCAACCTTGTAGAATCCTATTAGGCATGCAATAATATAATGCTAGTACTTTATTTTATGCAATTGAACTGTGATAGGTTGCATGGTAGATTTGCCTGAAAGCCTTTACCTTGACACGACCTTTACCCCTGCACACCCGCTGATAGGCTAGATGCTCGCTTACTACTTACTACTGCTTCTACTATGCATTATATATGTGATGTGATGCTTGGTGGAGGATTGTTTGTGAGTGGCTAAGGCACATGGTGCCGCTAAAACTGGTGATAACTTGGGGAGATCTTGGCGTGTCTTGGGTGTGTCGTGAGGGTTGAGTTGATCGGACAGGATCCTACGACGAGTCTTTGGACAAGTCTTGCCAGGGGGATGTGACATGGGCATTCCCTACGACAGGTACCTATGGCGGGTACATGTGTGAGGAGTGTATTCCGAGGAGGTTACTCTTCGGGATGAAGGTGCCATCGAGGCACGGGGTGCTGGTTATCCCCTTTGAGAAGATGTCCTGTCTGGTCCCCCCTAAGGACCGGTATGTCGAGAGAATCGGATCATAGGACCCTACGTGCACACCACTCGTTCCTGAATGGGTGGGGGCGGATGTTGACCACTAGGACGGTGCCACTACTATTAGGTTGATAGCAGAGATAGTGTAGGAGGTACGAGCATGTGACCCACACCCTCCTAAGACAAGCAGAGTGACCTCTAGTGATGGATGGTACTACGTCTCATAGTCTCAGCATGCTGGTGGACTCCGGGTGGGCCAAGGTTGAGTGGTAGGGTCGCATCGCACCGATTGGAAGGTAACCCGATATCAGCCTAGGCGGGGCACCGCCGATGATGGCGATCTTGTGGTTCTAGGTGTACAAGCTCTGAGAGTTGATCAATCTATACGTATAGCCGAGTCCTCGGATATGGACATTCCTATGACCTACGCTTCCCTTGATTAGTGAGAGGTGTCCTTTCTTTTTCTCCCCCTAGGTTTGGTGTTGGTTTTCGGCTTTGGCCGTTGAGGCAAGGTACGAGAGGAAGTCGTCCTTGTCGCCTAGAGAGTGAGAGTGTGGTGAGATGTGTGTGATGGGATGGGTGAACGTGTGATGAGATGGGTTAAAACTTGATGAACTATTATAAAATATTGATGAACTTGCATAGGAAAACTACAGCCATAAATAGGCCTTTTGTTTTACCCTTGCATTCCACTTATCACAAAGCATAGGGGGGGAGCCAGTGGCCAGTACAAATCGTACTGAAAGATTTTTGGCAGGTTCGGGTGTCTTCCATGACAATAACGGAGATTAGAAGGAATAGGTGGTCTCGTTCTTGCGCTCAAGTTGGTTGAGGAGATGAAGTCTACGCCCACTGACATTCTATGTCGACTTTAATGATTGCCCGTGAAGGAGGAGTTTTCACCGTCGACGACGCTTACGTCTACTTTGATGTTGTTCTCGTGTGTTTCCGCTAGTATGCGTTGTACATAAATGTGTCACCAAGTGTTGTATTACCTTATAAACTTGTAATTTTGCGATGTATGAACTATGGTATCAACTGAATAATGATAATGTGATAGTTTGGTCTTCCTGTACTCTCACATTATGATGTAATATATGGATTTCCCTTCGAGAAAATCTTGGATCGTTTCACTTACCCTTCGTGAGGTACCTAGGATCATGTAAAGATTCTATTAATGTTACAAAACAACACATGGATCTTAATATTGTCCTCTTTTTTCTTCCTGCTTGGTTTGGTTGCAATTCGAGAACCTGGGATGAAGCCATACCTTAGAACTTGTTTAGCTACACTCCAATCCACCTTAATTCATATGGATTGAGATTTAAGAGTGATTGAGGTGGATTGATATACAACCAAACAATGCCCGGCCCTGTTCGTTTCGCTGAAAAGCTAAGCTAAAAAGTATTGTTCGTTGATTTATTGTGAGACAAAACATCGATAAATTCGCAACCCCGATTGCGCATGTCTCAAACAATCAGCAGAGAATCCTGCCACTTGTCAGCACCTGGTCCACCCAAAATCTGTTCTGAAATTTCAAGCCTTGTACAACTTTGTATCGACAAGTTTCAGTCCCCAGCTCACATCCTCGCAGTTCCTGACGTGGGGCACCATTTTCCCTGTATCGGCTCCACGCTTCAGCTTGCAGTCGTAGGCGTGCGGCGCGTGGAAGCACGGTTCCATGGACATGTCCCAGAAGCACGGCGGGTCCGGCGGCGACGTGACGTTCGTGGGCTTGTGCAACACCCACGGCGTCATGCCTCCGAGCCCCTGCGCCACGTACCCGAACGTGGACCAGCCGCTGGTCACCAGCACGTCGCACAGGCTCAGCAGGTACATCTCCGCCCAGGCCCTTTCGTCGTGGGACTTCTTGCCGTACTCCTGGTTCCCCTCGTGGCTCGGCTGGTGCACGCTCACGTCCTCGCCGGTCGCCGTCGCGTGATCCCAGTACATTCCCTTGATACGCTCGTAGTACCACGACTGGAGAGAGGTGACCAGAACGGCTGTGGTTCTGGCGCCGCCGCCCGGCATCGGCATGGAGTGCTCTTCCGTGTCAAGAACCTCCGGGAGCAGCTTCTCCCTCCACAGGCATGACGTGATCTGCCGGAGGACGATCGGCGACTGCTGCGCCCAGGAATCGAAGTGGCGCAGCTGGACGCCGAGCCGGAGCTCCGCCCGCGCGAGGTACGCGCGGTAGTACCGCGTGACGAGGCCCCAGACGTGGTTGGGTGGGTGGAACAGGTACCGCGCCAGGTGGTGGAACACGGCGTCGCGCTCCGGGAACAGCATGTCGAGCTCCTCCTGGAACGCCGTGACCAGGAACAGCCCCGTCACGGTGTACATGTCGGTCCTCATGACCAGCCACTGCACGTTCGACAGCAGCCGCTGGTCGTCGTCGCAGAAGAACATCTTGTCCTCGTCGCCGTAGTCGTGGTCGAGGTGGAGGTATACGAACGCCGGCAGCTGCGTCGCCGTCGTCGGCACGTCGGCGCTGAGCACCTTGTTCTTCAGCATGTTGCCGTAGCTCTCGGCGGTGTCGATGCTGAAGTTGGTGTAGCTCGCCAGGGGAAAGTCCCGCCGCGGGAGCAGCCACGTCGTGCCGGGGAACGGCTCGCAGAAGAGCTCGTCCATCTCGTTGCTCGGGTCCACGAGGAGGGCGCGGTCCGTGAGCACCGCGTAGAGGAACGCCGACGCGGCGGCCAGGATGCGGTTGCCGAGGCCGCGGTGCGAGATGGAGACCACGTACTTGCACTCGGGCGAGTCGACGCTCTTGCCGGCCCTCAGCTGCTGGACGGCGCGGCTGTACGCGTCGGTGTTCGGCCCGCACCGTCTCTGCAGCTCTTCGTGTCTCCGCAGCTTTGCTATGAGGTGCGGAGAAGGTCGCCGTGCCGGTTTCCGGTTGTACATGGAAGACTCGTACCTGCTGCGGCATGATCTCTCGTCGAGTCCATCAGGCAGGAGGCCACCGAGAAGTTTGTCAGGTGGACTTCTTGCGTACGGGAAGGAGCCATCGCCGGAACCTGCACGGAGCAGACGGAGTTTATCAGGTTTGACTTCATAGTTCAGATTGATGACTCCTACATTTCCAGATAGGCAGATATTGGAAGTCCTACCAAAGGGAGGGCTGAAAGACGCTGCCAACAGAGAAGGATGTAAAGGAATTGCAGATGAGAGTTCAGCGAAGAAAAGTAAGATGCTCAGATTTTAGTTCAGATTACCCAATCGGACAGGTCACAGAAAATGCAGAACTGCTGCGAATATTCAGCACTATGTTTCTAAGCACTGGCATTGTGATCTGCTGAAGCTTGTGTGTAGCACCCAAATCCATATGTAGCTACCACGAGAAATAAACAGCAACATGGAAGTATGGAACTCACCTCGCCGCAGCTGGGCCTTGGCGGCCGCGATCCAGACCGTTGGCGCGATGCCGCCCCAAGCGTAGACAACGATGACCGGCGGCACGGCCATGACGAAGGCGATAAGCATGACGTTGACCACCGTGTTCCAGCGCTTCTCGTCCAGGGCCAGCCTCTTCTTCCGCGGCACTGGTGAGTGCTCTGGAGCGCCTTCGGCCTCAGGCCAGCTGCCGTTGCGTGCCATCGCCATTGCCGGGATCTCCTGCGCCGCCGCGCTCTCGACGCCGCCCCAGACGACCTTGGCCTTGCGTTGCTGCATTTTCTGTCTCCTGTCTCTCTGCTAGCTCGAGATGCAACGCGAATCCACAGGCTAGGAGGAGTTGAAAACTATGGCGCGGTGTGCGTTAGATTGGACACTGCTATTTTGGAGCGGGAGACTACAGTAGTTGCACTATTTCTTTTAGTCGATCGATACGCATTGGATTTGCGACTAATCGTAGGCTACACTCCAGCTGGGTGCTGCACTGCGCTACTGCCGCTATCAACAGGGGACAGGGTTAATTACTGAAGAAGAGCATCTCCACTGTTCGTAGATCGTCATATTGTCATAAACTAACCAGTTGACTAGCACGACCAGTAGTTATTTAAGTACTGCCCGGTTCGAGTAGCCCAGCTGATGGGCATCTCGAGGTGTCCTTTCTGACCTATGGAGATTGGCCATTGTGGAAAGCTTGGTAAACGAACTGAAACTTAAAACATTTTTTACAGCACAGCATTGTTGGGCAAGGTCTTTTTTTTTTGTGTGGGGTGAAGAGAAGTTTGCCCCGGACCTCTTAACTCTGAACAGATCTCACCGACACTCCACAGAGTGCATAGTTATGCTGATCTCTCTGTACGTGTGGCAGGAGCAGATGTCAAAAGGACTCTCCTGCTGCTAAACTATAGCCACGGCAGAGGCATATGCCGAAAGGCTCCCCGCGCGCACTGTAGTCATAGTAGGGACATGCGTCAAAGTCAGGTATGCTGTCACATCTAGTCACTGTAGCAGCATGACAGCTTGACACGTCTATATATTAGAATTAGATGGGTAGAGTTGTATATATAGTTTCTCACTGTAACTCAGTGAAGAGAGCGAGTTCAGTTTTGCTATCTCCTCTGCAGAGTTCCGACTAACGCTGATACTTATACTGTATGTACGCGCTCTGTTCTTCCTCTATCTTTACCTCTAGAAGTAGTTTGTATGCGAGAACGCCGGTAAACGGTCGGAGTGCCGGGAGATCTCGGGCCCAACATAGTCCAGGCTGCTATAAACTGCTTGGTTAAGCTAACACAAGGAGATAAACACACCAGGACAAAGTGGCCTCCCGTTCACAGCCTACGCTTGCAGTCTCAAAAGAAGCCCATGCTTTTGTGACCTTGGCATATGGATATGGGCCACATTTTAAAAGCCCAACCTTCATGTACACAGGCCCAATATGGTGGTCATGGCTGGGCTCCCCGAGTACCCGAAACTCCGTAAGCCCACTGCTTCCGGGCGCACCGTGCCCGCCTCCGGCCGCCACCGCCGTCCTCACACATCTCCTGCTCCGTAGTCCGTACCACTCACTCAAGGGCGTCTCTGCATTAGGGATTTGGGAACAGATCTCACACATCTGCGTCTCATCCCTCAATGGCTCCGTGCGTTGCCTTTAATCTTTCTGATTTCTCTGTTCTCTCGACACATTTTCCTAGCTTAATAGATGGAATTACGAGTGTCCTGTATCATATCATGCTATAGACTCTCAAAAATCACAAGTGAACTGCAAGAGGGTTTTAGTCTTGGACTCACGGAAGGTTACCACGACATGCCAACGAAATTGGGCAATTGAGCGATGATCAGACTTCAGACAGTAAACATGTTTCTCTTCTTTTTGAAATCAGAGAATGAACAGATTAATGGATCATTTTATCAACTATCTACACTTGGATCAAATACAGGAGGGAAAGAATACATTTTGTATGGTTCCTTTTGCCAAAAAAAAAAAGAATTATGCCCTAGTTAGCGAGCAAGTCTGTCGTGAGTCCTGACAAAATTACGGCTACAGATGAGTTTGATTTACAATCTTCAGCCCCCAGCTCACGTCTTCGCAGTGCCTCACGTAAGGCACTACCTTGCCCAAATCAGCGTCCTTCTTCGCCTTGCAGTCGTAGGAGGGAGCTTGATGGAAGCACGGCTCAATGGACATGGCACGGCCGCACGGTGGGTCTGGTATCACGTGGTTCTCCGACCTAAACATGATCCATGGCTTCAGGCCGGCGAGCCCCTGAGCAGCGTACCCAAACGTGGAAAAGCCACTGGTGATCAGTACGTCGCTCATGCTCAGTAGATAGATCTCAGCAAGTGCCTTCATGTTGTGCTTCTTGTTCCTTGACCTCTGGTACTCCTCGTGGCTCGGCTGGAACACTTTGACAGTTATGCCATCAACAGCTGGTTGCTCATCGTACTTCTTCTGAATCTCATCACTGTACCAAGGGCTCAAAGAAGTCGTTAGAACAGCAATCGTTCGGTTATTCTGAGTCCCAGCTGCTGTTTGGTTATTCTGAGTCTCAGCTGCTGCTCCCTCTGCCATACTAACTTCTGGAAGCAGCTTTTCATTTTGAGCACATGAGAGGATCTGATTCAAAATGTGTGGGAACGGACCATTTCTTTGTAAGATACCTTTGGTTTCATATATTCTGATCTGAATTCCCACTCTTTTTTCAGCTTTGGCCAGGTAGGACCGGAAGTATTTTGTAACCGAATACCAAACATTATTTGTCGGATGAAAAAGATAGCGTGCCAAGTGATGGAAAACAGTGTCTTTCTCAGGAAATAGCCTGCTGAGTTCATCTTGGAAAGCTGGAATGAGAAATAGGGATGGCACAAAGTACATGTCTGTTCTCATGATCAACCATGAAAACCCTTGCAGGAACTGTTGGTCGTCTTCACAGAAGAAAAGTTTGTCATGGAAACCATAGATGCCATCAAGGTGGAGATACACATAGGGAGGTCTATTACCAGCCAAAGATCGATCTGTATTTTCACCGAAAACTTTATTCTGCAGCATGTTGCCATAGCTCTCAGGACTACTCTGACTGAACTCGTCATTGTTCAGAGGGAAATCTGAAGGAACCAACCACGATGTTCCAGGAAAGGGTTCACAGAAAAGGTCTGCAATCTCCTTATAACGGTCCACGAGCAAAATCCGGTTTGTAAGTAGCGCATAAAGGAATGCTGAAGTGATCTCAAGCATCCGGTTCCCTAAGCCAGCATGAATAATCAGGAACAGATAGTTGCAATCTGTCACATTGACGCTTTGACCGGACTTCAGCTGCTTTGAGGCTTCCTTGTATGCTTTGGTGCCTGGACCACACTTTTTCTGCAAAGCTTCTTGTTTCCTTAACCTCTCTATGAGGTATGGAGAAGGTATGCTTGGTGAATTTTGATAGTGTGCAAACTGATACCTGCTTCTACATGATTTCTCATCAAAACCCTCAACCAGAAGGCCACCCAGAAGTCGGTCGTATGCTATTTGTGGCGATGGAGATAGATCATCGGACATATCATCTTGTATATCTGAAGAATATAAAGAGTTTTGGGTCAGTCAACTGCACATTGTAGTTCACTATCATGGAAGAACATGGTGTTGGCACATGGGTGCTGCCAATGCCAGAGAAGAAGTGGAGCACTACAACAACAAGTAGTCAATATGATATAGAAAAACACGGTGCTAGGAAGGACTAACAGAAAGAGTGGCTATTCAATGAATATAACCATGAAGCATGCAACAATGGAAGATGAGTGGCTATAACCATGAAGCATGCAACAATGGACACATCTCCATGGATTAAATGTGCACATCTACTGTTTTCAACGGCTGGTAGGTTGTTTCTTCTTTTCGCAATTAAAATTGCTTGCAAGTTGAAAGAAATTATGCATCCCACTTGCACTTGGAGTCGTTCATCATAAACCTGCCCTTTCTGCAATTCAAGGGACTAGCCGACTAGGAGAAGGAAAGGACCCAGTCCTTTGCTGTTCCCTCGTGCTGGGAGCAGTATTGCACACTGTAAAACCATTGGCTGGATATGCACCCACCTATCGCATGGTCTTGTTTGTATCACCAAGTGTGCCAGTTTCTCTATGTCATCCACCCTTGAGATACAAACAAATCTCTCAAAACTAATTTTTTTTACTTAAGTTTTTTCTTAGAATACACAACGTGCGAAGTGTGAACCTTTTCTTTGACTGGAGTACACTACTACACAAACTTTACTGGAGGCGGGCGTTTTCGGTTTTCCGCGGCGGGCAAAGCCGTCCGCCGCGGCCTAGAGGCCACGGTAAATCGTGGCTTAACCGCGGCGGACGGCCTTGCCCGCCGCGGTTAATCGATTTACCACGGCGGGCGGTGTAACGTGCCCGCCGCGGTAAATACTTTTACCACGGCGGGCACGTTAGGATTCCCGCTGCGGTTAATCATTTTAAAAAAACAAAAAAAACCAGGAGCTCGCCGGCGAGCCCGTTCTCGAGACCACCGGCGACGGATCCAGGCTTCCCACGGCCGCAGATCCGTGCCGCTCGGGGAGGGAGAAGAGGAGCAGCCGGCCGGGCCCCAGCGTCTCTGGAGAAGCCGGCTAGACACGCCGACGCCACTGCAGGGCCACCACCACCTCGCCAGTCGCTCGCAGGGGACCAGGCCGACGCCTCCTCGTGGATCCCCATGCCTCCTCGCGGATCCCGCCGCACCGTGGTGGAGGGAGGCCGCCGCGCCGTGGTGGAGGGAGGTCGCCGCGCCGCCGCGTCCTCGCCCGCAGTGGTGGAGGTCCCAGCGTCATGGCCATGGTGGATCCCGGCGTCGTGGCCGTGGTGGAGATCCACCGCCGGATCCGGTAGCTCCACCGCCAGATCCACGGAGGAGGAGGGTGCAGCCGCCAGATCCATGGGGGAGGAGGTCGCCGCCGCCGGATCCGTGGAGGAAGAGGTCGTCGTCGCCGGATCTGGAGAGAGGAAGAGGGAGGAGTGAGGGAGATGGAGAGAGGAAGAGGGAGATGGAGAGGAAGAGGGAGATGAACTCACTGGATTTGAAACCCTAGCCCCGCGCCGTCGTCGTTCATGGAGGATCCATGGGGGAGGAGGAGGGTGCAGCCGTCGCCCTCGATCCGCCGTCTGGAGGCCTCGCGCGTCCTTGGAGGAGGCTGCTGCCTGCATCGAGGGAGAGTAGAGGGAGGCAGAGGGAGATTGGGGGAGGCGGAGAGCTGAGAGAGAGAGTGGGTGAGGCGGGGAGCTGACAGAGAGAGAGTGGG